GGACCGCGACAAATAGCTTATAGCCGCCAAGTCCGAATACGAGTCTTTACTCTCTAACGGCACTTATGTGCTCGTCAAACGTCGTCATGATGAAACGGTTCTACTGTGTCGCTGGGTCTTTCGACTCAAAGCCGATGACACTTACAAGGCCTGACTTGTCGTCAAAGGGTACATGCAACAAAAATACATCGACTACACGGACATTTCTGCTCCTGTTGTTCGACTTGAAGTCCTACGCTTTCTATTTGCCTTAGTGGCCATTCATTATTTGGAATGCGAACAAATGGACGTCAAAACTGCCTTTCTAAATGGCAAAATCGACTGCGTTATACTGGACTTTTGTCACTTATATGGCTTCCCTGGGCTTTGCCCGCATTCACAAAGAAAGCTGCGTCTTTCTCAAAGCCCGAGATATGGTTTTACCATTGTTTGTCTCTATGTTGACAATCTTTTGATCATTACTCCTTCCAAGGCTCTTGCTGCCGCTCTCAAGGAGTCACTATCACTACGCTTCCAGATGAAGACTTAGGTCCTGTACGAGATATTCTCGGCTGGTAAATCATCCGTGACCGTTCCAAACGAACTCTGTTCATCCATCAATCACGTTACTGTTATACAGTACTTGATCTTTGACATGTCAACGTCCAAACCCGTCGCCACTCCTTTTGAGTGCACCACGCCTTTATCTAGGGCTCAGTGTGCTAGTTCACCTGACGACATTGCATTTATGGAAACCCAACCGTATCGGTCAATAGTTGGCAGTATTATATACTTAGCCATGGGCTCTCGCCCAGACTTGGCTTATGCCCTTCAACAACTCTCACAGTTTCTGCACAACCCGGGTCTTGCCCATTGGCGTGCTTCCAAACGCGTTCTACGCTACCTCCAAGGCACCTCCAATCTTGGACTTATATTAGGCGGCCGAGACTTTGTCTCCAAGCCGTTTCTATCCGCTTATGTGGATGCTAACTATGCCATGTGCCCCGATACTTGACGCTGTGTCAGTGAAATTTTCATCCTATTTTTCAACAGCCTTATTTCATGGCTTTCAAAGAAACAAGGAATTGTGACTCTGTCAACAACCGAGGCCGAGTTTGTGACTCTTGCTCTTTGCATTCAAGAATGTTTATACGTTCGCCAACTCGCTGCCGAACTACAACACACTAGTGATCAACCGATTTCGGTTCATGAGGACAATCATTCTGCTATCAGCATCGCCCAAAATGCTGAGCATCATGGTCGCTCCAAGCACATTGATGTGCGTTTTATGTTTGTTCCAGATCTCATTGAGAACAAAGAGTTTATTCTCCATTTTTGTCCTACCAAAGTACAACTTGCGGACTTCTTTACGAAGGCACACCCCGAACATCTGTTTCACAGGTTCTGCCTCGCTCTGCGACTCTATGCCCTTGGTGACTACCTTTGTGGCCGTGTACCCCAGTGACCCTTGCCTATGGCATTGTGTTTACTTTATTTTTAAACCTTCATGGTCATTATTGATATTTATCATGCATTATTTGCACCTGCTTTCTCAGCACACACTTTTCATTCACCGCCTTCATTCCTGCCCTCGACCATGTGGTGACTTGTGCACTCTATGTCTGCTCGTACCGTTTTGAAGTCGGCGGTCCCGTCTGGCCCGCGGCGCTGCTCAAGGATCGGCCGTACGAGTGGCGTCATGGTTTGTACAAGTTCCTACATGGAGCCCCCACGCCCCCTCGTCCATCCTACTTGCACTTCATGGGTTTATACCACTAATTTCTGAGTATTACTTGTACTTTTGCTTCTGACAATTTTACTTGGGTGTACCCCTACTCTCTGAGTATTACTTTGTACTTTTGCTTCTGGCAATTTTACTTAAGTTTTACCCGCTACTTTTAGCCACACTTTCTTATTCTTCGTTGCATATATGCACTTTATGGTATTTACCATGCATGATCTTTGACCACCCTTGCCTTTATGGATTACCTTAGACTTTTGCCTTACTCTGTGAGTAACCAAACACTTATGTGCCCAACACTATTTTTTGTGTGTTCCTGTCCTACCTACTTCTCCTCTGTTCTCAGGGTGGCATTTGTAGTGACATGCCTTTGGCACTTTTTGGCCTTCCCGAATTTTTCGCTAAGCCCTTTTTGCCTTTGGCATTGCCTCTCTTTGAGAACTTCGTCTCGAAGGCCTTCAGCAGTCCGTTGCCCAGTGCGGTGGCTGTCAAGAAGGGGCACTTTGGCCGTTCTTGCTTTGGCCTTTTTCGCCGAGGTTCGGTAATTTACGGATAATATCCTGTCATCCGGAATTATTCGGTGTTCTTTCTCTGTAGAAGCCGGACTGTTTCTGCCCAATCATAGGTCAGCTAAGCAGTCCGTTAACGATCACTTTTAGTTTTGTCATCGACCACACCAGTGTTCTTCGTCGTCGTTCCTCCTCAGTGCTACCCCCTGCATCGCCCCTCATGACATATTTGAACGTATTTTCATTCAACAAAGTAGGAGCGTAATCTCAACGTTGCTCTCTGTTATATGAGCCAAAGCGATATGAAATTCAAGGAGATATAGGTTGGGTTTTTTAGGTTGAAGGTTAACGAAACTTCAATATTCGAGGTGTGATTTCACGCGAGCCAACACGAAGTTCTTGAATCTGAATACATATTCGTTGAAACTCTGTATATTTAATATTTGTAGACTTAATTTCCGTTCCTTATTTTTGTGTACTACCTCAGACGGAAATAGACCAACCATTTGGGAAGAATATGTATAATTTCCTCAAATTTGCACTTTTAGAAATTCTGAAAAGACCAGTGAAAAGGTTGCATTTCGACCAATCTAATTGGCTTCAGTTGGCAAAACTATGAAATGATGCACCTGCAGCAGGATGGAAATTGTGCACTTGAGCAATACTCAATTCAAGATGATAATTCGCAACCGTGAGAGTGATGTACTTTCAAAAACGGACGGAGCCAATCAGAATCGTTTCCGTCACTTTTTCAAAGTACGATGGAGAGGCTTTTGGTCGTATTGTGCATCTCAAGTAGGTTAAAATGATTGGATTACGTTTCACTTGATCTAAGTATTGGATATTCTACTCGCACCTTGGTGCTGCAATTCATGCCGAGGTTGGTCGGAGCCGCCATTAGTGGGCGTGTTCTCGTCAACTGTACCACCAGGAACAGTGAAATCAATCCCATTTCCGCAGGATACCTTTGGGGTCATGCCACCGGTAGCCATGACGATACATATGTTTACACTGAGCCGTGCCATGTCTTGCTCGCGACACGGCACGACTCGATTGCTGTTATGTACGAGGAGAGGCTGCGAAACAGCAGCACATGCACTAATTCCCATCTTCAAAATACTGAACCCCGTTTTACCGTACGTTTGGGCGAAGAGGTTCCCGAATTTTCGTAACTTCATCAATATTACTCCAATTTTTATGCAATTTTGGGAAGACGTCATATTAGAATGAAACAGATTAGCTCCAAATTTGAAGTCTATCTGACTTGTGGTTTGTATTGAAATGCCGCTGAGATTTCCTATTGCTTTGATTGCAACTTTGAATTAAAAACGTCAAAATACTATTCTCAAGCACAATAAAAATACTGTGAGTGCAGTGAACGACATCCGGAGTACTACCGAAGTTTCTGCAAAACTATCCAATCATATTTGAGAATATTTGGGCCAAACTAAGGATTGGTCCAAATAAGCCAATCATATCGGTATCCATGGCCATATTCGAAGTACCACTGTAGTCCAACTTGCCATTTCCAGATCTAGTTATTATTGTGCATTCTGTAAAAAAATTCAGTCGAAATTCGTTTTTGGTTACTTGGTGTTGAGAGATGAGAATCATAAAATATATGCTCCTGACAAAATGAAGGAAGCTACTCCTCATGCAATACTCCACGTATTGGAATGCGATCAAGCCCACAGCATGCAGCAGACTCCGGTAGATGCTGTGGGCTATTCCGTTTGAGATATTACTGAGATTTGGCGGAGGAGTAGCATCCTTCATTTTCTTGGGAGCCGTTTCGCCCAAACATGTTACCCCAAATAGGAGAGTTTTGAAAACGGATACTACAAACTCATACTATTAATACATACAGAATAATATTCTGAAAACTATGCGAGGCTCAACTACGACGACAAATAAGTAGAAACTTGCTCCAATCGACAATTAACCCCGGCAGCAGAGCAACGGGCTCACCTAGTTTTGAGTTTCAAGTACGACGGTACTTGGAAGAGCCCCTTATCGAAGCGTATGTAAATCTTTTGGGTCTGGGATGGCCCATTTTAACGGAACATTAAGGGAAATCATTACGCACATAGCATCCTTTTAGGGTTTACCTTGAGGTAAAAGGGGGTTATTTCAGATAAAACGTTGTATTCCGTGGTAAAGGGGTTTAGGGTCAGGTTGTTTGGGAAATACATGGGGTGGTTTATGAATGGGGGCTAGGGGTCAGATTTTTGGAAATACTTGGTGTGATATGATAGTTGGTGACTTATTGGTGTCATTAAAGCCAGGGTTTGGTAATATATTTTTACCCGAGTTAAGAACATTAACCGAGTGAGTGAAGGTTGAGTTGAAGGACTGATGCGACAACGGATCGAAGGCAATTTTACAAGGGTGAGTTTGGGTGGAGTGACAATGATTTCTTCTATTTTCAGGGACTATCATGTGGCTCCTCTATTTCCGTCCTTGAACGATTTTAAAATGGCACTTCTATTTTGAGATGATCTTTTGGACATGGACCATTTTAAAGGTTAGGTTTAAGTTAAGACTACTATTGTACCCTTTTACGAACGGTTTGAACCGTTTTACGAACTCTTTTGTCCGAATATACATAGGATTTACGAACTAAAAGAATTCGTAAGTGGTACTATCAGAGTGGTGTCACTGGAGCAACCTTGTACTTTGTATACCGGAAATATATTCGAAAAATACACGTTTTACGAACTCTTACGAACTTCTTTATTCGGATGAATTAAAGTTCCATTTGCGGTGTGACGATGGGCAGGGCCAAGCGCAAACATGATGAGGACAATTCCGAAGCAGTTGCAGGAGACCGTGTTGTCGCCTTACGGCTAGTTAATGACACAACAACCCAGTATGCGTACATAATAGAACGCTTCAAGCGATGGCTGCCCAGCGAACATCCAGAGTTCGTTGTCAATTCCGTCATCCAATTGCCTCTGTCGACAAAAGTCTGTCAGACTTACTTGGACTTCGCATCTGTCAAGCGCGACGCCACAGGAAAGGAGCTGGTGGCCAAGTGTTTCAACTCGTTTTCGACCATTGGAACTTGTAAAAGTGCAATAAAGTACCTTTACAAGGAAGCGAACATCCAAATGCACGACGAACTGGAAGCTAGACTCAAAGGTACGATCCTTGTAATTGTATTTAATTAACAGTTATGCACGTTCGAGTAGATTTTGCAAACGGATACAAGCGTCACATTGCCCAGCTTAGAGAAGACGGCGAAATGCCAATCGGGGAGGGCAAATTGCCCATGACGGTAGATGGTATCTATATTTTGCATGAATAACTAACTAACTATTACTAAGCGTCTCATATTCTGGAAATTTTGAATTTATTCTTAGGTTATGCGTATTTAGCCAAAGCAGCACTGTCAGCGCGGAGGGACCACTTTCTTGCCGTCAACGCTCACACGTTCCTCCTTTTTTGCTGGAATTTAATGCCTCGTTCAGTATCTACAGCTTCAATACGTTATGACAATGTCGCATGGCAAGGTATTTTATTTAATTAGGTGCGTGGATTAATATAGACCTAGGCGACGCGCTTTTAGTAAAATTCGGGAGAACGAAAAGCGACCAAGAGGGAGCTGCATTGTTTCCTAAGCACGTGTACGCCAATCCCTCGTGTCCGTGGATCTGCCCAATCTTGAGGTTCCTACAGAACTTTCGGATTGATTTATATTTCATTAATTGCTGTGTACTTTATTCGCCTCGCAGTAATTGTATTCACGAGAAGTCTGCCAGTTGGCCAACGCACAACTTTGATCTTTGGGGTGAATGCGCAAATTCGATTTTCGAAGTGGCTACTGAAAACGAAGCAGACATACTTGCCATGGGTATGGCAATCTCTGAAATCGGCACCCATTCCTTCCGAAAAAGAGTGGCTACAGCATTGTCAAACATCCCAGGTGGACCCCAGGCGGTATCCGTGTGGCTACGTGCAGGTTGGACCCTGGGCAATGTACAAGGACGGTACATTTTTGAAGGATCTGGTGGCGATCAATTCGTTGGTCGCGGAGCAACAGGTTGGCTATTATTACTTGCTTTCGATTCGGTGTATTTATATCCAATTTTTATATTTTGCAGTCACATTATTATAAACCTCTCAAATAAAAAATAAACGTTAGGCTTACCATTAACTTCCAACACATTCGCATCCCTGCCGCCGTATTTTTCTCTCTGATTGTATTGTCTGAATCACGATTGAATGATATACACTGGTGGTGCGATAAAAATGTATGTTAAGGCATGCCCACAGCGGAAAACAAGAGTCTTTCTTTTCTGCGCGTCAAGCTCCATCAAGGATTCGCCTCTTCCGAGCTGGAGGTGTGTAGTGTAAGCTGAGAATACAATGATTCAAATTATGATTTATTAAGGTTGTGCTTTTTTATCAAGTCGTACAGAGTGTGGTAGTATATCTCGTTGACACGTCGTTTTGCTGCGCATTTAACATGACATCACCATGCACCCGTGCTGACAAATGGCTCAGTAGCCCTGACCGCCAAATTAGGGACAAAAATATAGGATGGCTAGCGTCCAAAGTTGACTTCAACCAATCACGATGATACGCCAACTATGCCAACAAGTACGGCATCACACATCGAAAGCCCGCAGGGTACTCAATTGAATAGCCGGGCAGAACTGATTCCCACTCGCCCAAGGAGAGTGCTGGACGACCCGTACATGCGGTAGTAACGTTGCACTGGTGTGCTTGGGTCGCACCAGGATCCATCGGCCGTCGCCGCGGTCGTTGGCCTGCCACAATGTGCATGCCCGGGAGACTGCTTGGTGCAATTGACCTACCTATGTGTAAGATATACGAGTCATCACCACTGTGTACCTCCCTTAGTGTTGAACAAGTGATTCGGGCGTGTTGTCGCCGCAAGTGCAGTCGCTGTGATCGCAGGATAATTGTTTCTGCAACAAACTCATAAAAGTGAATATGTATTTATACTGAGAGGAGTTCGTGAATAATTCGTAAACAGTCCAATATCAATGAATATAAATGTATAAAAATTTAGGAATAGAATTATCTGTTTTGGTATCATTAGTATCACTACAGTAGTACTAGATAAAAAGTGACGTCTGGAACCCATACCTTCGACTCGACAGTCGGGCACACTAACAACAACCCAAGGTAAACCCTAAAATGATGCTATGTGCGTAGTCATTTCCCTTATCTGAATGCCACGAAACATGGCATAAAATGGCCGTTTTCCCAATGGGGAAAAGTTGGCAAAATCGAAATATTCCATTTTTCGAGATTTTGTACGTTTAGATACCACCAAACAAAGTTCATTACGTTATGCCGCAATTTTCTTGAGAATCGGGTGTTTTACGGCTTAAAAAAGGAGCCGATTTTGTTAATTTTTTATGGAGGTTTGTGGTTACGTTGACAGTCCCCGACGGCATCGAACCGCCGACGAGAAATGCGTGATATTCTTTAGAGGTATACACTTCGACAATATAAACGCCATCTTGTGATTTTATAACTTCATAAAATATAAAGTATGAAGATTATATTTCACACACAGGTACTAACTACTACTATTATGTACTACTCATTCGAGCTATCACCGCCTTCTTCATCGCCATCTTCGTTGTCGCTCGCAGCAGACGACTCCTCATCGCAGCTCATTGCATCAACTTGCAACAGATTCTCATACAAGGATTGCAACTTGCCTTGGGCAACCTTGACGCACCTCTTGATTGCCGTCGGGGTCAATGCAGCAAATGCCGCGACGATTCATGTTTTGACTTGTGTGAACTTGCTGTCACTGCTGTACCTGAGTCCTGCATCTCCTTTCGCAATGGCCCAAACCATCTCAATGGGCTGCAAGTCCGAATGGTAGGGTGAGGGTGTACACAACGATGTGGCCGCGGGCTTCGCCAGGTCAACGACAACGGGGCTTACATGCTGCTGTATGTGCTGCGACAAATTCTGCCATATTATGCCCTTGAAGTCACCCTTCGAGAACTCGATGCCGTAGCGCACACATTCCTCTTGCAATCACTTCTTGCAGAGGCGACTGGTCGGTGTATCCTTTGGGTGCCCCTTGTGGTATTTTGCGTTGTCCATAACAATCAGCGCGTTGACCACCCCAAGACTGTCCAACTCATCCAACAACTTGCTGAACCATCCGACAAAGTAGTCATCGTTAAACATACCATGATAGTCCTTCGGTTCCTTCACTCTTGACTTCCCACCCGTAAAAATGTCCAGTCCGACCACACAGCTGGTCATGGTCAGTGAATCCAAGATGCCCGTAATGAAACAGTAGCGTTGGCCCTTGTGCTTTTCATTTGAAATCTTGTCTAGAACGTCGCTTGTGTCGTACAGACTATCTTGGTGAGCCTTGTAGTGGTGATGGATGTAGGACTCATCCATGTACACGATGGGCAGTGGCGACGCGGACGAGATGTAAGGTTGCATGAGTTGAACGTACATGTAGCGTGCTGCAACGTTGGGTTTGGACAGGTGGTATGCTGGTGACCCTTGCGATTGCCACGCTTGTATCCCCGCCGTTTCAAGAACCTTTGGAGTTTCCTATAGCTTGAACTATAGATATCCTCCTTGATAGGGTATAAACCCACGTAGGATTCCTAGATATAATTATAGACAGAACCTGTATAATCGAATATTCAAAAGTGAAGGGTTATTATGGCTGAAGGTTGAAAATAGGTGAATTTGGGCATGCTTAGCGAAGATTACTCGAAGGTTATTGTGTTTTATAGGGATTAAATCATACAGGTGGAATTGCCTCTGAATTCCCTTTCGACCACACAAAACCTCATATAAAATGGACTTAATTTGATCTTTGTATACAAAACTGGCTGTTCGATGCCGTTAGGGACTGTGAAGTCTTGCACTTCACAGTCAAACGGAAATCGAATATTTCTTTCAAATTCAGCGAGTACCCACAACTTTGGAGATCCTTCTTTTCTCCCTTTTTTCATGGGATATCAGACTTTGGGAAAAATTTGAAGACTTGCCAAAACGGTTTATAGCATAATTTTTTGCCGTGCCACCCAGGCCAGCCCTTAATGTTCCGTTATCCCGCTAGGATGGGCCATGCCAGAACCAAAAGGCTTCCTCTACTTCCGTCTGGAGGTATAGTACGTGGTAAAATTGACTGCTGTATAGAAAGTCCTTGTGACATGGCGATAGTGGAAAGGTGCAAAAGCCAGGGGGAACACTGGGTGGTTGCGAGTGAAATTAGCTTACAGTTAGTCCCTAGTGAGAACAACACGCTCTACAGTAGAGGCTCTACGGACTAGCTAATGTCTAGCCAATCAGGACACGGCATCCAAATGATGTACCGTGGATATGGCTGGCTATCTACAGTGATGCTCCCTTTTTTGCTCGACCGTATTTGTCAATTTCTTTGTAAATCAATACCCTTGTATTGATTTACAAAGAAATTGACAAATGTTGAATTTACAAGGTGTTGTTAAGAGAGCAAGAAGCCCATTGACATGGTCGAGCCCACTCGAAGGGTCTCAAGTGCTGCCATCAACGGCATTTGAGGTAGGATACCAGTGTGAGGCCAGCAATTTCTAATTGTAGATGGCGACACTTCATCCCACGCCTCCGAAGCCCACCGCATTGCTTGAAGCACGTCACATGCTTGCTTGCCCATACAGCTAATCGGGGGTATGTTACCGACACTGGAGGCTGGCTAGTGTAGTAGATACGCCATGTGTCTTTTTGTTGCAAGGTTTGTCTCTTGCCACCCGATGGCATCGCGGCTGTTCGGCACCAATTTTGAATTTCAAATCCTAGACCTCTCAAATTTTACACTTTTGATTTGCATCATTTCATGGAGTTTATCTCTTTTGGACGCACGCAAAAAGGGAGCATCACTGTAATATGTGAGGAAAAGCGTCTAAAAGGCATAAAAACCTCCTACTAGCTGCAGCCAATGCTGATACCTGTAGGGGGGAATAGCTCAGGTGGTAGAGCATCGGTTTCTTAACTCAAAGGTGATTATTCCGCAAGGATTTATCCGTCCCTCCCCGGGGAATCCGGATAACAAGGGCCGTGTACCAAGACGAGGACCGAACTTCGAAGAAGATCGGTCGAAGCACGAGGTATGCATATGAAGCGTTGAGCGAAGTAAAAACCGAAGATTACACACCACCCCTGCTGGAGCAGGCGCGTTACAAATGGCGAAGCCGTTCCATAACATGTGGTTCTAGTGTCCGCCCTCGCGGAGGAATGTCTTAAAAATGATAATCCAAACTCAATTAACCAATCCTGATACCTGATACTGATACCTGATACTTCAGGGCAGTGGTGATGTTCAAGACAGATCAGGGTGTTCTGACTGCGATCGCTCCATGGTAGCCATAACAACCTTTCCAGCAATCTAATTGGCTGTTCATATTCAAAGAGCAGCTCGCAACTCCCATTGGTTGCTGAGATTTCCACAAAATGTTAGCGTTCTTCTGTTTTGCCCCGGAGAGTACTACAGTAGTATCATCAATTGATGGATTCCTCCACATGGTTTCCACGATGCTTCAAGTCTTCGTTTCTCATAATTTGGTGTTTATATGGTATACTCTGTATACTCTTACCTCAATTTTATGTAGATTCCAGACCGTCGAATCGAATCGAATCGACGTTATTGGCTAATCCATTATTGAGTGGATTTGATTGGCTCATACAGAAAGGACATGTATATATTCAACTAACGTTAATCAGAACTCCGGCATGATTCAATATTGATTCGACAAACCAGATGAATTTTGGAAGTTTATAGCGAATTCACAATACATATAGTACAGTCAGTATCTATACAGTGATTAATTGAGTTTGGATTATCATTTTTACAGAATATATTTTCGGCTAATGCAGCAGTGGACTGTTTTACAGTTAAGCTGAAGGGCTCTTCGTGCAAAGCTGGATACTCCATTTGGTTACATGGTACTTCATGTCTGTGGACCTATAGCGTTGCACCCGGCTACTGTAGTATCGTAAGCTTACCAGCTCAAGGTTGAGACACCTCTCAACGTTGAACTTGCCACCTTGGTAGGGATCTCGCCTCGTTTTGCCATTCTTAAAAACTCCTCCAGTATGAAGGTTGTGCTTGCGCTTGCGACGTTGCCGTACGTGACCGGAGTTAGGGACTTCAATGCGGAAGCAAAAGTTCTTGTGGATGCAATGTCCATCGACGAGGTGATCGGCCAAATGACGCAGGTGAACATTGCCTATGTCATCGAAGACCAGAACGAGAAAAAGGTAGTCGATCCATCCAAAGTCGCGGATCTGGTCAACCACCGCATTGGGTCGTACTTGAACTCGCCCTTCGCCACGTCGACGTCGGACAACTCAAGTGGGTGGAACGTCACCGAATGGCGCAGCGCGATCAGTCAGATCCAGACCAAGCACATCACCGAGACGGGCCACCCCATCATTTATGGCGTAGACTCGGTGCATGGCGCTACCTACGTCCAGAATGCCGTGCTGTTTCCCCATCAAATCAACGTCGGCGCCACGTTCGACCCAGCCTTCGCCAGCCAATTGGGGGAGTTCGCTGGGCGCGATACCCGAGCCGCGGGAATTCATTGGATCTTTGGGCCGACCTTGGAAGTCGCCCGCCACAAAGGCTGGCCGCGCATCATGGAGACGTTCGGAGAGGATCCGACGGTCGTGGCGGACATGGGGCGAGCCGTAGTGCAGAGCATCCAGAAAAGAAACGTGGCCGCATGCTTCAAGCACTACATCGGGTACTCAGGCAGCCAGTCGGGAAAAGACCGCGAACCCGTGAGCCTGACCAAGCACGAGCTGCTCAACATCTTCATGCCGCCGTTCAAAGCCGTGATTGACGCCGGGGTCATGACCGGCATGGACTCGTTCATTGCTTTGAATGGCGTCCCCACCTCTGCGAACCGGCAAACGTCCATCGACTTGCTGCGCACGGATTTGAAGTTTGACGGGTTCTTGGTGTCGGACTGGGAAGAGATTTACATGATGCAGTACTTCCACAGCTATTCGGACAGCAGAGAGGACTCCGTGTTTAAAGCCATGTCCAACTCGTCGCTAGATATGAGCATGGTTCCGAACGACGCGAGCTTCATTCCGATCATGAAAGAACTTCACAGCAGTGGAAAGGTCTCCGAAGATCGCATTCGCACGTCAGCCCAACGCATTGTCAAAGTCAAACTGCAGCTGAACCTTTACGACGACCCCGTGCCTGGCGCGGACTTGGCCAATCTCGTGGGCGATAAAATCAGTCAAGATGCCGCCTTGGAAACGGCCAAGGCGTCGCTAGTGCTGGTCAAGAACACGAACGACGTGCTGCCACTAGATCCCGCCAAATCCTTCTTCTTCACGGGGCCCTCCATTGACGACATTGGGCTCCTTTGCGGAGGTTGGACCATCCGCTGGCAAGGGGTACAGGGCACCAGCAACTTCCCGGCGTACGGTAAAACGATTCAAGCGGCCATGAGTGCCGTGGTGGGCGATGACTCGCGAGCTCAGTTCTACCAAGGTGTCGACATCACTGGAAACTCCCAGTCGTGGGACATCGATGTGGCCAAGGAGAAGGCAAACGCCGCCGACTATACTGTGATTGCGCTGGGAGAACGTTCTTATGCCGAACTGCTGGGCAACACCGACCCGTATGAACTGCCCAAGGGACTGACCGACTACGTCGAGGCTCTCTCCAACACGAGCACCAAAATCATTTTGGTGCTGGTGGAAGGACGCCCTCGCTTGTTGAGTGGCATTGCAGAGCTCGCTGCAGCGGTACTGTATGCGGGTTTGCCCTGTGAATTGGGTGGGGAAGCCATCTCGAGCGTGCTGTTTGGTAGCACAAATCCCAGCGGCAAGTTGCCGTTGACGTACCCTAAATCCGCAGACCAACTCAACTTGGCCACCCCGTACTATGGGCGTATTGGTGACGATTGTGTCATGGGTGAAGTGTCGACAAGCTGTCCGGTGGAATGGCACTTTGGGCACGGGTTAAGCTACACATCGTTTAGCTACTCGGATGTTCAGTTGTCAGCCACGAACCTGACGCCATCGTCGAGTCAGACGACGGTGACTGTCACCGTCAAAAACGAGGGCAAAGTGACCGGCAAGGAGTCGGTGCTCTTGTTCGTGTCGGCACCCGGGGGTCCCGAAACGAGGTTGCTCAAAAAGTACACCAAGGTCGAGCTGACGCCAGGGCAAGCCACGGACGTGACTTTTACGCTCTCTCCGGATGACTTTGGCAAATACGTCAACGAAATCGGTAGTGGGCTGCTCAAAGAGGCGACTGCTGGGACTTACTACGTGTCACTCAAGTACGACACCCATTGCAACGCAGACACCCTTGGTCCCCTCTGCAAATCGTTCACATGGAACTCAACTCCCCCAGCCCCTATTCAAGACCTCATTCCAGGAACTCCCCCAGCCCCTATTCAAGACCTCATTCCAGGAACTCCCCC